TGTATGTATGTATGTATACACGTATATATGTGTATGTGTACGTGTCTAGGTGTTGATATGTGTTTCTATGCATATTGGTGCACGAACGCATGTATGCATAGTCCATCATACGTCATAATATTATGAGTCATTCGCAGTCCTCAAACTGGAACCTCCGTTTCCGCCATTCCCTCCTGAGCTCTCAACCCCATCAGAGTGCAGGCCGCAAGCAGTGTCTGCGGTTGTTGCTGGAGGCCGGTGCCGAGATGGCCTCAAGCTCAGCAACGGCCTGGCAGGAGTCTTCGTGGACTTTGGGGCTTTTTTACGAATCTTTGCGCTTCATCTTCTGACTGGTCGGTTGTTTGGTTTGGGCCGAATACATTCTTGAAGGTGATCAGCTGCAAAGCTCAACATCTGTCTGTGCAACATTTCTCTGCCCAGGGCAAGCGCATGATAAGTGGGGAGACGCCGCTGGGGTTGGCCTGCCCTTTGGCTTTGACTGGCGTCGTGGTCGTGGGATCTCTTAAAGTGTTAACTAAGTGGTTCATGATCACAACAACTAGCTTTGTGGAGTTTCTGGGAATTGTCGTGTACCAGTTCACCTCACTAGGAGTGATTAAGAGCTTATCTGGTGGCTTAACAATACGAAAGACGGGGCGGAATGGATGATTCAGAGACCCTGCTTCTTTTGCGAGCGAAATTTGCAAGTCAGCATTTAGCAACGACTATTCTGAGCACATCGCTGACAAAATGTCCTTGACCCACTCGCAGGCAGAAAGCTGGTTGGCAAGAGACGGCCCAAAACAAGCCCATTTTTCATTTGTACATAATTATGCCAACCTTGGCCATGCTCGAGGATTTCGCACTGCTGTGCGGCATTAGGTTCGCGTGACGAGTCGCCCCACCCTTCCCCGGCTACCCTTCCTTCCCCTAGCTTGCGTGGCCCTCTAGGCATTTGTCAGTATCAGTAGCAAAGGCATGCCAGGCTTGCAATTACCGCGACCGCCGCCGCCCCCGCCGCCGCCCCCGCCACCACCACCACCACCACCACCACCACCACCACCACCACCACCACCGCCACCACCTCCACCACCACCACCACCACCACCACCATCGTTCTTAGACGACCCGGATGATCACCGGCTGATCACCGGTCACCGTGACCCTCATCAGCCAGGTTTGGCACCGTCGCGCAGCTTGCTGCCAGAAGATTTGCGCTCTTTCGCTCGAAACGGCCGCTCGACCTCTGCTTGCCACTTGCTGCCGAATGATGTTGAAATTGTTGCAACCCACTCTTAGGCTATGTCGTCGTCAAGAAGGTGCCTTGCTAATGGACCATCCCCGAAATATTTGCGCATGTCAGTCACGAGAGGCAGTCCCGGACTTCCTGTGGCGACCTGCCTGTGCGCTTGTTCATTCGGAAATTGGCAGCCTTGTTCTCAGAGCAGAGCAGGGCACTGTGCATTGTGCTTTTTCGTCGACTCGACACGATCTGAGGCCACGGCATGATCCAGGGCGGCGACACGAGCAACTCAGGCATGGAGATGGAGAAAGTTGCGGGTCGAGTTGTTCTTGATGCAAAAACCGTCGAGGAAGTTTCGAAACCGGATGACTTCAAATCGTCCGATCCGGAGCCCTTTCCGTTCTAACGAGCGGTAAAATTGCCTGGGGTGGAACGGCTCTAAAGTTTTAAAGTGCGTTGCATCTGGACGCTGGAGGATAGAATAAGATAGGTTTGTGGCCAGAATTCGTGGGTTGAAGCTGGCTGCGCCTGGCAGCTGTGCTGAGGGTCCGCGCAAATTGGGAAATCAGCCCACGACAAGACACAAAGACTTGTAGCCTTCACCTCCCCGTCCTTGGCCCGTTCCCAAGATAAGGTTTCGATCCATTCATGGCAGCCTAGTTGAACACGCGGCCACGCATACACAAATGAAGATTCTGGATCTCGACTCACGTTTGTCTTATTTCGATACAAGTGTGAACCGCATTGAACCGCATCGAACGGAGAAGGCAGGTGGGGTGGGGAAGTTTAGGCTTCTCTGTGCAGACGACGATGTTTTGAACGACGGTGAGCATCGTCATTGACCGATTATATATATATATATATGCATATCCTAATTCCTTATATCAGAACTTGCGAAACGCAAAAGCCAATGGCTGCAGCTCAAGTCGGCTGGGAACTCAGGAACTCCAAGTCTCCACCACTAGCTTGGAGCAGATAAAAGGCTGAAGTGAGGCTTGTCGACGGTAGTTTCTGGCTAAACCCTAAACCCTAAATCTCCTGTGTTCTGGTCACAGCCTAGCAGAGCGCATCAGCTGCCAGGCTTCGAGTCTGTGGGGAAGCTCCAGGGCAAGACTCCACATCGTGCTCAATTCCGAGACCTTCTGCTCCACCCGTCCGCGGCCCAAGCTGAGGTGCAAGTTCCGTTCATCATGATCTAGAACAACAATCATCATAATTGCTATTCTTGCTATGGTGTTATGATACTTATTGGTATTGTTGCCAGAATCATGCTTATGCTTATTATGATGTTCAGAGCCAGGTCGAGTGCTGCAGGCTCCTGCGCCGATGGGCCTCAGCTTGCAAGCCCACGCATTGCATGTTCGTATACATGATTCTATGCATCCGTCTATGTCTCAGTGTGTGAAGTACTCGAATGAATGCATGCATGCCAGCATGCATGTATGCATCTGCGCTCGTGTTTATGCGTGCAGGTGCGTAGTTGTGAACGTGTGAACGTTCATGTGTGTGGAGCGCTGCCTGTTTCAGAAAACATGCGACAGTTTCACGACAGCATGGTTCAGAAATATGGAACAGTTCTTTTCTGAAAGGTAGAGCAGATGTTTTCAGAAATATGTTGCAGTTTTTTCAGAACATATTTAGGGTTTTAGGGTTAAGGGTTTAGGGCCATGCATTTCCAGGCTTCGTAGGGGTTTTTAGTGCTTACTGTAGAGCCTCATATGCATTTCAAGGCTTGGTTTACATGCATGGGGTTTAGGCTTAGGGTTAAGGGTTTAACGAATTTCGGCCTTTTGCATGTCTGACAAATCCAGCGCTTGTTTTCTGAAAAGTCTGTGTGATTTAGAAAAATCCGTTCCACAAAATGCGTGCATGCTTTCTGGCAACGGCGTTTTATGCGTAGGACATTGTTTCTCAAATATCCCATCACCCTTTGTATAGGTCCTATAGCATAGGTATATGTACATGTGCGTGTGCATGTATGCATATGTGTATACATGTGGACGAGCATGTATATGTATGTGTATATGTATATTTATGCATATTCTGTATATGTGTGAATGTGTATGTGCGCACAAACACACAAGCAAAAATACAAATACACAGACACACAGACACACGCCGGCTCTCTGTGTCTGAAATATTGAGACAGAAGCATGTGCTGTACAAGTACACAAATCCCAGCACGCTGTGCATGAGTTTCAGCTATATGTTAGATATTTGTGTTTGGATATTGCCGACACGTGCGTACGAAACTTCTTACCAGCTTGTAGGCGAGATCTTCTCGAGCAGCGTACTCGGCAATCGCCCTCCACAGAATCAAAGGATCCTATATATCGTCATGCCTGCTTGCAGCACTTGCAATGCAATAAGTTTATGAACGTATACAGGATGAACTGCAACACCAGGTCGAAAGGAGTGCGGACAAACAAGCACTGCACGTCGCGTGCCTTAAGGCTCAGATGCTTGGATGGCGGTCGATATCAGCTGTGCTGAAAGGGCGTCAGCTTCCCGCCCAGGCCTGCTGAGTTTAGGGACCTGTCAGCTCTTCGTCGTTTTGCCTCGGATAGCTTTGAGACCTTAGGGGGTGACTGGGAAGTTTCGGGACAATGGATGCAGAACTGAGTGAGGTAGCGCTGAGATTTCCAGATGCCATCTTGGCAGAGGAGAAGGCCGTCAGTTCCGAAGACATGGCAGTTTGCAGAGCCGGTCCCAGCTTGAGGCCAGATCCTGGGCAGCTCCGCAGCATCCTCAGTTCTCAAGAAAGTATGACAAGCCCTCCGTCATCGTCGCTACTAGTCTCATCACTGCCAGCCAAGGTTGCAGCTGGGTGACCTTTTGTGGCACACAGACGGTTGCAGCACGCACTGCTGGCATGGATTGCATGGTAAGGGGCTCCGAAGGAGCAGCCGTTTCAAGTTTGTGCAGTTTGTGTTGAACTTGTACAGTACTCGTACTACATGAGGCATTGCCAACAGAGCGAGACTGGAATCATGCCAGGATTGTGTCGAGAAGTGAGGCAAATCAGTGTTGACAGGCGCCAGTGCAGCCGGCATCCGTTCAGCTTGCTGGTAGGTTGGCGCTGGGCTGGGATTCAGGTCTTTGTATCTCTAATCTTGCACAAACTGTGGAGCTCTTCTGGCAGGTGTGGCCCTCACAGACACACGGCATGCCGAAAAGCTGTGTGGAAACCTGTGCCCGCCGCCCAGCGAGACGTTAAGACTTCTCTGCATGAGCACATCGTTGCCAAGCACGAACTGCAGCTATTTGGGTTGACAGGATTTATTCGTGTAGAGAGCTTTGTAAATAGTTGCCGTCCGTGTTGTTTCCTTGCAATTGGTGAGCTCCGGGCGAGTGCCCCTGGGCCTGGGGGCACTGGCCATGCCGGGTCGCTGTGACTCGCAGACCTGCGCAGCAAGCAAAGGTGCGCCTGTGCTGCCTTTTCCGCCCAGCGTTCTTGCTGCCTTGCCATGCAGGCGAGCGACTGCTCATCGCGGCCAAGGCACCGCAGGTTATCCGTGACCTACCTGCTGCCCTGCGCGTGCAGGACCCGAAGCATGGTCTGTGTGTACTTCGAACAGCAGCTTCATGCGCACAATTCAGGAGACTCTGCAGTTTGACCAGTGCAACTACAACTTGCGCGAGCAGATCTCTTCCCTGCTGGTCGGCGCAGACGCTAAAGCCTCGTTATTTCAGCATGCCCCTGCAAGAAGATGTGCTGCAGTACAGAAGCAGGTCGGGCACTTCCCGAACGAGAGAAAGGCCTTGGAGGATTTCGAGGCGAGAGCAGGGACATCTTCCATGTCTTAGGTATAATCAGTAATCAAGTATAATCTTCTAAAGATGCACATCCCTCAGGCATTTCCGCAGATTATATATATATATAATATTACAGATTATATATATATATATGTATGTAGAGACAGATATAGATGCAGTTCAAACTGCTCGGCCGAGTGGAGGCCATCCCCAGCATCTTTCGCTCCTTTCCAGCTCGGCAGCGGCTTTGCGAGGTTCTCACAGAGGCCTTTTGAACCGCGTAGTTCAATGCTGACGTGACCGAAAGCTTGCCTTTGAGACTTGCCTTTGCAGGCTTCCGACTTTCTTGCCGTGTACGAGAGGCTGGTGCTGGAGGTTCTGGTTCCATGGCTCCGGCAGCGCTTGGAGAAGCAGGCCACCGAAGAGTACAACGCCGAGACCCGCAAAAACAGCAACAAGCGATTTTGCATTCCAATTTGGGTCTTAGTTTCCGCACAGCTCGACCATTCTTACTGCCTTCCAGCTCGAAGCTAGGAAGAGATGCCCCCGAAAAAGAGAGGTCCAGAGTTTTTCAGCTTAAAGCCCTAAACCCTCATCCCCTCAACCCCAAGCCCTAAACCCTAAACCCTAACCCTAATACCCCTAAACCCTAAACCCCTAACCGCCTAAACCCTGTCCTTCCGCGTTGCTATGCGCTGCAGGTGGGGAGCCTCGGTCCGAGCCACGGTCGCAGCGCAGCACTTTCTGCACTATTCCTGCTCGTCTTGAATGGACGGTATATAGGTTTATAATAAATAACTATATATATATATATACATATATATGTATGCATGCATGCATGCATGCATGTATGTATGTACGTGCGTATGAATATCTGTGCACTTATACATGTATAAATAAATAGATCTATATATATATATATTTATTTATGTATGTGTACATATATCTATATTATTTATATATACACATACAGATTGAGATCAAGGTAGCAGCAATCAAACGTTTCAATCACCAACTATTACTGTTGCAACTAAATCGACGACGACTTCCACGACTAATTGCTTCGATTGCGATGACTTCGATTGCGACGACTGCTTGGTTGATTCAGCTGCGTCGCCAGAGCGACTAGGGCTTCGGTCAAAAGCGTCAGTCCTGCAGCCTGGTTGATGGGACGGAAGCCGGCAAAAGTGAGGAGTTTCGTGCACATTCGAGGACCAACTTTTCTTACCAGTATCCACCTACCCTTCGGATTCAGCCGGGAAGGACCTGTGGGGTTTTGCCTTTAACGTGTGCCGCGTCGCAGGCCTGCATCCCAAAAGCAAGCAGCTTCGGGAGCTCAGTGCCCTCTTTCTTCCTCCAGGAGCGAGGAGTTCAAGCGCCCACACCGAGATGCAGAGTACGGCCATCAGATTGGGGTGCCTTGGTGTCGGATTTGATTGTGGTTCATCACATGGGTCCCATTGGTGTTGTGACTGTTTGCGGCACTGATGATGGCTCTGGTTTCTGCTCATATCACTTGTCTCGTTTCCGATCGGGTGGTTGGGGCCATTACAGACGAAAACAGATCGTGAACGTGTAGATGCTCGCTTTTCTTTGGCTGCCTGCCTGGGCAGCAAATCGAAGCGAAGCTACAGTGATCACAGCGGCCCGACCAAGCACGAACCTGCAAACACAGTCGGCCCAAGATCTGGACATATCTTGATACACATGAAGGTATAGGTGTCTGACATGGAGATACTCGCTATGAAGGTGGCACCAGCGAATGCGCACAAGGGAAAGCAGCGGCACAAGACGGATAGTCTGCGAACGCCAGTGACCCTAACAGTTAGAACCAAACAAGAATGTAAAAGCATGAAGCAACATTCGCACGAATCACCTTCAACTTCCAGCCCTGTGTTCTGAATCGGCAGCCCTGTTCCTCAAGGGGGACGGGTGGGCAACCATATCATTTCAGCACTCTGGTCGTGTTCATGGAACCCGCCAGAGCAGGTCGCCCGCACACACAGGGCTTAGCAGCGCCACGGTGTAGGGTTTAGGGGTTTAGCGTTTCAAGTTTCGAGTTGCCGCTTTCAGCACGAGCATGCAGTAGTCGTTTGGGGCCTGAGGAGTTGAATTTCTGGATGCCGCTGACTGACTACAACATGACGCAGGCACGCTCTTTCAAGATACCCCAAGTCGCCACAATCTACGCCGATCGCAGCTTCACAGGCGACTCTCTGGGTGGAATCCAGCCCGGGCGCAGAGGATTTCCAGCCCTTGGCCATCAACCACGGCAGCGGCTCGGCGGCTGCGCTCTCTTAAGAGCATCCCTTAGAAAACCCCCCCGAACCGAGGCATTGCAGTGTTCCATGGCACACTCTGCAGGCACAAGGCTGGAGCCCGACCGGAGCGGATTCCTCCTTTTGAGCAGCGTAGTGCAGTGCAGCGCAGGTGCCGGCGAACACCTCTCCCTTCACCAGCCGCTTGCCGAACCTCTTTGCAGTGTAAACCGGAACGTGAAGGTTAAGGCGCACAGGCAAGAATCTCGTGGCCAAGTGCTGGTTTCAGTGAGCATCGCGGAGCGCCTTGCGACCAAGGAGTGTCTCTGGACTTCCGAATCGGTATTGGGGACTTCTTTGACAGAGACATTTGGCTGGCAGTAGATTCGCGTGTATAGATAATGGTTTCACACTGCGTTTTGGGAATTGAGTGGTGTCGCTCTGCTGAGGACTGGCAGCTGGATGGTGTGAAGCATGTTCACAGTCGAAGCCACTTGCACTGACATGTCCCACCTGTAATCCCAGACCTGTCAGCGCCTCAGGAGAGGTTGTCCTGTGACGTTGATGCAGATGGAGCTCCTCTCCTCGTGTCTGGTGCCTTGCGGCTCACGGCTTGGACGGAGAGAGACGCCCAGGAGCGGCTGGTCTACGAAGCATCCTTCAGGCGGCAACTGGAAAACCCCGATTATGTGGGCATATGTGGGCATGCATCATCTGAGAAGCGGGCATCAGCACCAACGCGATCTGCGGCCACCTCTTCTCGCCCCGACAGACGAGCTTGTCTCGGATGGCCTCGGCGAAGGCTGTCACTGGCCGCCATGCGCGACCTTCACCTCAGTGCGGAAAAGCGAGTCGAAGTTGTGTGGGACACATGTTCACTGGACCTCTACGGCCTTCCAAGATCCTTGTCACAGAGGTGTTTGGCCGGGATCTCATGCCCATTTGCGCCGAGAGCCAGCCCTGAAGATCTGTGACGCTGGATCCGCCGCGAGCTCAGCTGCCAGTTTGACGCGGAGGCCTTGGCGTTACCATGCCTTGGCCTTAAGTGGCCTCCGACAGTTGCACAGGATGCTGCAGCGCTTTGCCGCGAAGGAGCTGCCTTGCGAGGCTCCGGTTTCGAAGCCGCCGGCCTGATCAACCTTATAGGTATGCCATTCCGGTGAAGTCATGGTTTCCAGTATTGAGCCCCAGTTCATGTAAATTGGATCAAGCAGCCCCGTATGCAAGTCGGGCGCAAGAAGACCGCTCCGGGGAAATCATGATATCAAGATGGGATCTTGGGTTAGGACTGCTCCCTTTCTGAGTGTTGTAAGCTGCCAGTCATCGACCGGCATCGTGTGGCTCAAAGACCTTGGCAGCCTACTGGTTTGGGGACATGAACTGCAAGCCATGAGCTACGCCGTCACTAGCACACATGTATTGACTTCAGGTATTGTCACCGTACTTGGTATCAGCGTACGAGCGCATTGTGATAGCTTGCGTGCTTGCTTCGCTCAGCTGCCAAGCATTGGAGTACCTTCGCAATGGGTGCATCAGCAAAGCCACGATGGCTGGGGGCGACGAAGGCGATGCTCGTCATCTTGACGTTGCTGCGAGTTGCTGGGAATCTCTACTTGGGACGCCCTGTAGAAAAACAATGAATACAAGAGTTTATATATTGTGAGACCAACAATTTCTGCACTGGGGGTCTATATTCTCCTCAACAGACCGCAACGATACTTTGCGAAGTCGCGACTCCACGTGTGGAGTTATCGTGGTGTGATTTGGCTTTACGTGACAAGCGTCTTTACGGACGAAAGCATTACTGGCCTTCACGAAGACTTTGGCTTTGTGTCAGGCTATTGGCGCGTCGGTTGCAATCGAGCATGGAGTCCTATTCAAGTCGTCTTGTTCGCATTGGGCTTTGTTACTTCCAATTTTCTACAGATGGCAACGGCAAACTTGAAGCTCCGATGTTTGGCATGGCATCGCCTGGCCGCTTGTGTCAATCTGCTTGGAGCATTCATTGGTTTGCTGTTTCTGGGTGATGTAGCGAGCTACACAGCGACCTTTCTGCAGCCTTCGGATCGTCGTGTCGGGGGATACACTCCAGAGGACTTTTCTTTGACTCTTGCTATTGTCGCTATCCTCATCGCCGTGTTCTTTGTGGCTGGCCCTCTGCAATCGTTGGGCATGTGGTGTGTTTTATGCAAAGCTGTGCGTACCCTTCCCTGGGATGATATCAGGTGGGAAGCCAGATGCTTGTTTGCCAATGCATTCCTCACGATGGAGGGCACCCCGATTTCGGCAGGCGTGTGTCTGCATCTCTATCAGGTTCTCTATCCGGACACACTCTTTCAAGTGATCTGCACATTGGACCTGTCCCTTCAGATGCTCAACTTGATGGTTCTCGGTGGAATGCTTGGTCCTGGGCAGTGGAGCAGGCCTATGGATGCACTAGCCAAACTAAGAGAGAGCTCTGGCGCCGGCCTGGCAGCCAAGCGCATCGCTTTTCCTGGCAAGGTTAATCCCGCAGCTGCAAAGTGTATTGTCTCTTTTCCGGGAAAATACAGCGAAGAGTGGGATGAAGCTGTAGCTGTTACGGACCAGCAGGGCATCTGCTCCCTTGCCTGCGTCTTTCTGACTGATGCTGCGTCGGGTTTGGGGCAGCATGCGGAAAACCCGGAAACTCCGGGTAATTGTTATTGCAAGTCTCTCTATGGTAGTGTGCCTGTCGAAGCATACCTGAGCGAAGCAGATGTCTCGTCCTCAGTTGACCTGCAATTCAAAAGATCTGATTCCGAGGCTATGGGTCAGCTATTGTTGATCAAGTACCCCCACACAACACACATTGAGTGGCGGGAAAAGCAGGCTGAGGCCACGGAGAAAGCTTTACAGCTTTGGCAGCAAAGCCAGGGCCGAGCCCCGTGGGGCTGCCGTTGGTTTGAGCTTTGGAAGGAACGTGTTGATGAAGCTGTGAAGCTGAATCAGACACTTCACGTGTTTTACTTCAAAGGGCGGGTGGGGGCTGGAAAGCTTTCCTGGGACCAGCTTGGCCACGACGAGGCCAGAAAGAATGCTCGTGTGGGTGGAGGTCTTGGCAACTCACAGACAGCCGAAGTTGCATATCTAGACAAGTTGGGCTTGCCGTATGTTGAGCATGATGTCTCGGAGTTCAGTTCATTCATCGCACAAATTCGCACCGAGTCAGGGCGAGCTGATGACCAGCCCGAGTTGACTACATTAATGATATGACTGTTTTTACAGTATAGTAAGATATGGTAGAGCAGCACTGCAGCAATACATCTCATGTTCGAACACCTTGTAGAATCGCCCGTGAGGGACACAAGGCGTTGACATGCGGGCCACGCAGCGGATTGCTTTTCCAGCGGCCGAAGGCCCCGGGCTTTCCCACTCCATGGCTCCGAAAGACTTTTGTTATACCTCGGTGCGTGTAGAAAACGGCATGGCGTATTTCATGCGCAGAGGCCTAGCAGTTCCACTTATATCAGGGCCAGAGACGTAGTAGTGTTTGGCTCAGCTACTACCACTGGTGGCTGGCGACTCGTACGAGTCACTGTTGTACTTAACCACAACTGCCTGTGCTGGCTCCAGAACAACCTAAACCCCAAACACCTATACTCTACACCCTTAAACTCTGCTCTCGCCGTCTCTCCACGAATCACAAGATGCCAGGATATGAGGGGCTGATGCCAGGAGCTTGGCAAGTCCCATCCTTTCGTCACACCGTGGAAAGCTGAAGGCCATGTCCTCCAGATGCCGAAGCACCGGGGCAAGCACTGCCTCTGGACCTGCGTCCGCTTCCAAGATTTCCTGTTGGCACGCCGGGATGCTTCAGATCCAAAGTCGCGACTGCCGTGACTTACCCAGGTGCTGGGGACTGTGTGATACTGCACCCTCATACGGCCCATGCAGCAGCGTGCGGCGCCGAGGGCTCTCAACTAGGGCTGGGGACGGTCTGACCATACTGGCATCTCGTCGCAGGCCCAGGTATACCCCCAGCGGCATACGGATCATGGTCCCGACCTTGGGAAGAGACGCCTGCGCGGTCGGATTCCAAATCCCGGGCGCATGCCTGGATGCTTCTGGCAATTGTCAGGTCTATTTTCGGCTGCGGGCAACTCCAGCGATGGCGAGACCGGAGCCAGATGATGAAGCGAGCGAATCCTGTCGGCAGGTCCCGCCCGCCCGCATGTGCAACATCATCCTAGATTCGATTTGCAGTATTCAGAAAAGTAATGCTCATAGTGCCACAAGATCAATGACCAGTAGCTACAGTGTAGCAGCTACAGTATGATCGGCCGTGGCATCCTTTCACAGGTCTTTTTCGATCTGCCTGGAGTGGCTTCTGCTCTCGGCGAGAACCGGTGGCCAGAGTCCCAGGACAATTGAGCAGGCTGCGGAGAAAGCTTAAGCACTCAGTTCCCCTTAAAAAGGGAAGCTGGAACAGACAGAGATAACCTGGTAAAAGCTGTGTGAGTGCCAAAGGGTTGTTTTTGACAATGTCTGCTGCCGATTCCTGACGTGTGAAGGGCAGATGTTAGCACGGGCCAGGGAAGTCTTTTGAGGATGCCGAGAATAGGATATTGTGTTTGAGCAGGGAGGCTTCCTTTGAGGTTGCCCATCATTGATCATATAGTATAGTAAAGTACATAATAATATATCGTATATGATAGTAATGTTGTGATGCTTTGGGTGATGCAGCGCGAGGTCAGAGTTCCTGCGTGCAGCTGCCAGCCACGGGGACACGAGAAAGAAAATCTGCATGCCGCATGCTTCCGACACAAGAGCCTAGCCACCATCCGGGGAATTCAGTGAGCATGACAGGCGCTCTTGCAGCAGCAGGAGCACAACCGAAACTTGGAGGAGCGGAGAGAAAGCTGGAGAATGTTTGGGGGACGAGCCCTCGCTCACTCCCCAGGCCCAAGTCCGGAAGTTGGTTGAGCGGGATATTTCTGCCAGAGTGGTGAGCTCAGTCCTGAAGCGAAGAGTGCGCGAGTTTATCCAATACTCACGGGTGGCTGGACTTAGGTTCAGCCTTCGGACTGTCTCCCCACTGACAAGTGTTTGCCATCATCCGTGTTCGGCAGGAGGACTCGATCCACCGTCATGTCAACGGGCTGGGCCTGTGGCATCAGCAACACTCCTGCACAGAGCTGCAGGTTCAACTAGCACGGTGCGGCTCTTCGCCAAAGCAGCTGACCTGAGTGTCAGATTTTCCCCGTGAGAACTGATTTATCTTTCAAATAACTATGGCGAACATCTGTTTGATGCACTGCCAATTCATTTTTTCAACCAGAGCCCCTGCTCCAAAGCCATCAACTTGAGTTGTGGCCAAAGATCTGCAGTTTTTGGTCGCAAAGCTGTAGCTGGCATGGCCGGTGTGACA